AGGAGAACAAAAGACGTTATCGAAGTTAATAAGGAAAAGTAAAGATTGAATTGTGGGACATTCTCTGAGACATGAAGGACTTTAAAGTCAACTGCGATCGACTGATCGATCACGAAGCTATTGTTGGTCGATCAAAGTCAACTAGAGGCGATATCGATTTTTCTCAATAAACAAAATAAAAAACGCGTAAATTTAAATGATTATAAGCACTTAGTTGATAGATGGAGCGTTAGATACAGAAATTACGTGATTGGTGAGGTAAAATCTGTAGATAAATTAGAAAAAATAGGAGAACAAAAGACGTTATCGAAGTTAATAAGGAAAAGTAAAGATTGAATTGTGGGACATTCTCTGAGACATGAAGGACTTTAAAGTCAACTGCGATCGACTGATCGATCACGAAGCTATTGTTGGTCGATCAAAGTCAACTAGAGGCGATATCGATTTTTCTCAATAAACAAAATAAAAAACGCGTAAATTTAAATGATTATAAGCACTTAGTTGATAGATGGAGCGTTAGATACAGAAATTACGTGATTGGTGAGGTAAAATCTGTAGATAAATTAGAAAAAATAGGAGAACAAAAGACGTTATCGAAGTTAATAAGGAAAAGTAAAGATTGAATTGTGGGACATTCTCTGAGACATGAAGGACTTTAAAGTCAACTGCGATCGACTGATCGATCACGAAGCTATTGTTGGTCGATCAAAGTCAACTAGAGGCGATATCGATTTTTCTCAATAAACAAAATAAAAAACGCGTAAATTTAAATGATTATAAGCACTTAGTTGATAGATGGAGCGTTAGATACAGAAATTACGTGATTGGTGAGGTAAAATCTGTAGATAAATTAGAAAAAATAGGAGAACAAAAGACGTTATCGAAGTTAATAAGGAAAAGTAAAGATTGAATTGTGGGACATTCTCTGAGACATGAAGGACTTTAAAGTCAACTGCGATCGACTGATCGATCACGAAGCTATTGTTGGTCGATCAAAGTCAACTAGAGGCGATATCGATTTTTCTCAATAAACAAAATAAAAAACGCGTAAATTTAAATGATTATAAGCACTTAGTTGATAGATGGAGCGTTAGATACAGAAATTACGTGATTGGTGAGGTAAAATCTGTAGATAAATTAGAAAAAATAGGAGAACAAAAGACGTTATCGAAGTTAATAAGGAAAAGTAAAGATTGAATTGTGGGACATTCTCTGAGACATGAAGGACTTTAAAGTCAACTGCGATCGACTGATCGATCACGAAGCTATTGTTGGTCGATCAAAGTCAACTAGAGGCGATATCGATTTTTCTCAATAAACAAAATAAAAAACGCGTAAATTTAAATGATTATAAGCACTTAGTTGATAGATGGAGCGTTAGATACAGAAATTACGTGATTGGTGAGGTAAAATCTGTAGATAAATTAGAAAAAATAGGAGAACAAAAGACGTTATCGAAGTTAATAAGGAAAAGTAAAGATTGAATTGTGGGACATTCTCTGAGACATGAAGGACTTTAAAGTCAACTGCGATCGACTGATCGATCACGAAGCTATTGTTGGTCGATCAAAGTCAACTAGAGGCGATATCGATTTTTCTCAATAAACAAAATAAAAAACGCGTAAATTTAAATGATTATAAGCACTTAGTTGATAGATGGAGCGTTAGATACAGAAATTACGTGATTGGTGAGGTAAAATCTGTAGATAAATTAGAAAAAATAGGAGAACAAAAGACGTTATCGAAGTTAATAAGGAAAAGTAAAGATTGAATTGTGGGACATTCTCTGAGACATGAAGGACTTTAAAGTCAACTGCGATCGACTGATCGATCACGAAGCTATTGTTGGTCGATCAAAGTCAACTAGAGGCGATATCGATTTTTCTCAATAAACAAAATAAAAAACGCGTAAATTTAAATGATTATAAGCACTTAGTTGATAGATGGAGCGTTAGATACAGAAATTACGTGATTGGTGAGGTAAAATCTGTAGATAAATTAGAAAAAATAGGAGAACAAAAGACGTTATCGAAGTTAATAAGGAAAAGTAAAGATTGAATTGTGGGACATTCTCTGAGACATGAAGGACTTTAAAGTCAACTGCGATCGACTGATCGATCACGAAGCTATTGTTGGTCGATCAAAGTCAACTAGAGGCGATATCGATTTTTCTCAATAAACAAAATAAAAAACGCGTAAATTTAAATGATTATAAGCACTTAGTTGATAGATGGAGCGTTAGATACAGAAATTACGTGATTGGTGAGGTAAAATCTGTAGATAAATTAGAAAAAATAGGAGAACAAAAGACGTTATCGAAGTTAATAAGGAAAAGTAAAGATTGAATTGTGGGACATTCTCTGAGACATGAAGGACTTTAAAGTCAACTGCGATCGACTGATCGATCACGAAGCTATTGTTGGTCGATCAAAGTCAACTAGAGGCGATATCGATTTTTCTCAATAAACAAAATAAAAAACGCGTAAATTTAAATGATTATAAGCACTTAGTTGATAGATGGAGCGTTAGATACAGAAATTACGTGATTGGTGAGGTAAAATCTGTAGATAAATTAGAAAAAATAGGAGAACAAAAGACGTTATCGAAGTTAATAAGGAAAAGTAAAGATTGAATTGTGGGACATTCTCTGAGACATGAAGGACTTTAAAGTCAACTGCGATCGACTGATCGATCACGAAGCTATTGTTGGTCGATCAAAGTCAACTAGAGGCGATATCGATTTTTCTCAATAAACAAAATAAAAAACGCGTAAATTTAAATGATTATAAGCACTTAGTTGATAGATGGAGCGTTAGATACAGAAATTACGTGATTGGTGAGGTAAAATCTGTAGATAAATTAGAAAAAATAGGAGAACAAAAGACGTTATCGAAGTTAATAAGGAAAAGTAAAGATTGAATTGTGGGACATTCTCTGAGACATGAAGGACTTTAAAGTCAACTGCGATCGACTGATCGATCACGAAGCTATTGTTGGTCGATCAAAGTCAACTAGAGGCGATATCGATTTTTCTCAATAAACAAAATAAAAAACGCGTAAATTTAAATGATTATAAGCACTTAGTTGATAGATGGAGCGTTAGATACAGAAATTACGTGATTGGTGAGGTAAAATCTGTAGATAAATTAGAAAAAATAGGAGAACAAAAGACGTTATCGAAGTTAATAAGGAAAAGTAAAGATTGAATTGTGGGACATTCTCTGAGACATGAAGGACTTTAAAGTCAACTGCGATCGACTGATCGATCACGAAGCTATTGTTGGTCGATCAAAGTCAACTAGAGGCGATATCGATTTTTCTCAATAAACAAAATAAAAAACGCGTAAATTTAAATGATTATAAGCACTTAGTTGATAGATGGAGCGTTAGATACAGAAATTACGTGATTGGTGAGGTAAAATCTGTAGATAAATTAGAAAAAATAGGAGAACAAAAGACGTTATCGAAGTTAATAAGGAAAAGTAAAGATTGAATTGTGGGACATTCTCTGAGACATGAAGGACTTTAAAGTCAACTGCGATCGACTGATCGATCACGAAGCTATTGTTGGTCGATCAAAGTCAACTAGAGGCGATATCGATTTTTCTCAATAAACAAAATAAAAAACGCGTAAATTTAAATGATTATAAGCACTTAGTTGATAGATGGAGCGTTAGATACAGAAATTACGTGATTGGTGAGGTAAAATCTGTAGATAAATTAGAAAAAATAGGAGAACAAAAGACGTTATCGAAGTTAATAAGGAAAAGTAAAGATTGAATTGTGGGACATTCTCTGAGACATGAAGGACTTTAAAGTCAACTGCGATCGACTGATCGATCACGAAGCTATTGTTGGTCGATCAAAGTCAACTAGAGGCGATATCGATTTTTCTCAATAAACAAAATAAAAAACGCGTAAATTTAAATGATTATAAGCACTTAGTTGATAGATTGAGCGTTAGATACAGAAATTACGTGATTGGTGAGGTAAAATCTGTAGATAAATTAGAAAAAATAGGAGAACAAAAGACGTTATCGAAGTTAATAAGGAAAAGTAAAGATTGAATTGTGGGACATTCTCTGAGACATGAAGGACTTTGAAGTCAACTGCGATCGACTGATCGATCACGAAGCCATTGCTGGTCGATTAAAATTAACTAGAGGCGATATCAATTTTTTGGTTGACAGAGTTAGCGTAGTTTACAGAAATTAAGTGATTTTTAATTTAATTTTATTATATTAACAGAATAATTAATTTGAATCATTTTCTAAACGTTGTTGACCACCTACAAGAACTAGATAGATTGAAAGAAGGTTTTCAGAGGAAGAGCATATTCTCTATATCCACAAGTTCGCCATTCCTGTGCTAGTTAGACAGGAATAAAGAGGGATATATAAAGATCTATATTAGATTGTTGTACCCAAATAGTTAGGAATGTGGGATGTTCCTACTTTTCGAGTCGTCGGACTGAAAACCCTGCGATGATGAAAATGAAATCGGATAACAGCGAAATTTATTTTTGAGGGTAGATGGAAAATATCGTTTTTAAGCAACGGAAAAAGACATTCAGGATGTTCAGAAATTATGAGGGAAAACATCTTAGAGTTTTTTCCGACCTTTTGTGCCGTTGTGACAGTATCAAATAAAGCGGTCAAGAGCGTACCGAAAACGCACACGACCCAATCACTCCAAAACCAATAAAACGAGGGTGAAACGAGAAGAGACATAAATTCAAAAAAAGTCAACCAGCAATTTACCTATAATATTCATACCTACCACAAAAATTTATCAAAATATTCTACATTTACTGTTTTTAATAGCGTTCTCCGCTTCCTTTTTCAAATTATCTCTTAATGATTAAATTTTTATATAAAAATAACTATTATTGTAGTTCTCTAACTTGGTACAAAAATAATAGACCTAAAGGCACCCCCTTTTCTCAGCGCCCATCCACCCTCATATTTTCATTAATATACTATACTTAATAATACACTTACCGACTAATGCCAAAATCACGGTCAAAATAGGAGCAGCTGGAAAACTTACAGAAACGTTAAATTCCAACATTTGAAGTAGATCAACTGAAACAAAAGAAACCAAATTAAAAGTGTGCTTGAACATAAATCTAAACAGTTTTCTAGTTCGTGGGTTTAATACAATTAACTTTTAAGACTGATAACGACAAAAACTATTTATTTACACTAATTATTAAAGAACTTAAAAACACTATAAAATTATTACTAAACTTAGGTTATGAGTTATTCTATTTATTTACACTACTGTTGATATATCGCTATTCACTGCGCTATTTATTTCACTTTTATCACTGTCAATTTATTTCTGGATTCACTTCTGAAACGGTCAATTTATTTCTCCTCTTCTCGGCGATCGTCTCTTCCTTTAAATACTCTTTTGTTTACTTTCGGGAACCTTCTGGAAACGTCCGGATAGTTTATTTTTTCTTTGAACTGTTTAACTGCTTTCCCAGAACGCAGGTACGACACACAAATTTACAAATACGGCGCACATGAAGAAAGGCGCCCGCGTCTAGTCGACGAATAGATAAGCACACGTGTGCCCAATCGCACACAAACACACTCGTGCTCGCTACATTATTCTCTAAAAATAAGAGTGAAAAATTTCTTCTATTCTTCTCAATTCACTTTAAATCAGTGATACTTTCTTTACAACTAATTAGTCAGTTATTTATTATTGATGTAGTCTATCAATCTCAATAAAGTACTGAACCATTAAAATTCTGATACTTCAGTTAATTTTATCATTTCATGAATTGCCTGGCTGGTCGCCGATTTTACGCTTGCTTTCTACTAAATTTATCTTTGTTTATCTTTTATTAATCTAACTAATTCAATTAGTAATTTCAATTCACTAATTAGTTCAGTTAATATTCACTAATTTTCGGCGCTATTATTCCTAACAACGATTAAACTACATTTATTATGCATGAGAAGTGCCTAACCACATTTTAAGTAGTTTCAATCAAAAATCGGGAAAGGACGACTCCTGGGACGGAGAGCAAGACGGAGCTGAATATATAGACTACGAAAACCGATTAAGGTTGTCCAAAACCAATTTTTCTGTAATTAGGAAGCATCTGCTGACGCTACACTGTAGACGACTCCGTCGCGACGCCGATGACAAGGCCCACGTTATCGTCGGCAATAAAGTAACTAACTAACATATAGGGTGTTTTAATAAAAATAATTCCATTTAAACCTACGTATCTCTAATAAGAAACCACATATCCTGAGTTATCATAACAATTACTCATTTCGTAGTTGCAATAATCTCTCCTTTTCGAGTTCAGAAATTAGACCAAAAAACTCCTTAACAAGTCCTTTGTCCATCCTGTGCACCTCCACGTTGTCTGTCTTCTAGACAATTTTCCGAGAGTAATTATTAAGAATACGCTTTCCTTTGAATGAGGAAACTCTGTTCTTAATTCCGTACTCTTTAACTAAATTTTCTGTATTTCATAACTAAATATTATTATAAACGAATGCCGTAGGGGGCGATCGATATCGCGGCACTTCTCATAACGCTGCCGTAACCCGGCAGAGCAGTCATAAATAATGCGGCGAACACAATTAAAGGAATATTCCAGGACTGTATAAATAAGGATTCAGCATCGGAAGGAATACAGTTGATGTTAATTTACAGATTTGCGTCAAATGTTTTCGAATGTCAACAAACTGACTGATTGCGCCCCCGACAGGCTCGACTCCAGAACAATTTTCACACTTCTTTCCTTTCGTGCACCTTTATGTCAATTTTCGTGACTCACAAAACACCCTGTATCGCGTTGTTGTAACCGATAACGCAGACAAGATAATGACAAAAGTTTACAAGAAACGCCGCAGCTAGCTATGCATAAATTATTATATAAAGGAAGATTGATGAAAACCAGCAAAAAATAGCTGGTGCAACGAGCGGGCAGAGACGACGCTGATGTTAGTGCTGATGGGCGCGATATTATTTTAGGAATCGGTCGCCTCCAATCGATATTTTGGTCGTACGTCCACGCGGATATCGCAAAATAGCTGCCGATAGATAATAAACGCATTTCCGGAAGCGAACCTATGACACACCGACCCCCAACTCCCTTATTAACTACGGAATAAGCTATTAGTGCCTTTGTCTTTGTTTCCAAAGCCTCACTACCCAATCGACCCGTAGTACCCTTAAGTAAAAACTACCACAGCAATCTATTTCATACAGTATTTGGTAGGGTCTTGTAAATACATGTTCTTACTAAACATATAAGGTCGTTTCAAACACTAATTGTAAGAAATGTGTATGGCTTTCCTTGATGCTATCTTACAACTTTGGATTTTCCGTTGATATAGCACGAATGCGCTTGCACCATACAAAACTGCAGGCAGGAACTGAAGCTTATTAAAATGACTCCTCCTCGACATGTCCACCAGAGGTCACACGTAGAGCGTGACGCGTGACGTTACACTTTTCGGTTTTATACCCTATAGTAAATTTCCTTCCTATCGCCGATAAAAGAGTTTCACTTCAAAGAGTTTCTGTTTATTTTAGAGGTCCTTCCATCTCCGATGCTGGATGTGGACTCAGTCCAAGATATGGAAAGACCTCTGAAGAAGCTCGCCACTCGTGTTAGCGAAACGTTGGGAGACAACTCCAACCAACCAACCAACGACGGCTGTTAGACCCGAATCAGAAAAGCATCAATTCACCTACTGGTCGCGAAAGACTTAAGCAATTTGCCATTAAGATTTTAGGTAATTACCGTTTAAATGTCTTTATTTTTGTTGTTGAAGATGATGCTTAAAAAGTATGATGTCTGTTCGTAAAATATTTACAAACATATTGAAAGCATTTATGAGTGTATTTCAAAAGAAAAAGGTTCAAGTGCACCCGCTATTTCTATTTTAAGCATTCCGGACGCTTAGGGGATGCTTGAACATTCCAAATAACGGTCAATCGTCGAATACTGTCCCATCACATTTCCCTCTTTTTTGCATCGTATTCTTTTATTTATTTTTGTTCGAAGTAACATACGAAACTGAAGGGGTTTTCTGGTTCACCAACATCAATTTGTGGTACTTTATTTTGTATTACCTACCTACCCACCTTACGAAACAATTTTATCAAAGTTATATTACCTTTTTGACCTTTGCTGGAAATTTAACAACATACAAAACAATTTAGCACAGAATAAAGATACTGGAAATGCTTTAGTTTCAAATATTATACAGTAAAATAAGGTCTATATACTATTTTCTTAAAGTTTAATTATTTCGCTCAATTTAAATACCCCAACATCACATTGGTATCATTCTGATGCCTTTTACAATCGACTATCACAGACGATGACTCTCTATATACACGATATTGAACAATTAATTCTGCTGGACACTCAAGTGGTTGATAGAACTATAACAGTTTCTCATCAAGTTGCGAATAATATGTCAATGATCATCAAACGTATCGCGAGCTTCAACTTAACGGTTTCAATCATGAATTTGCAGAATACTATGCAATATGAGGTTCTGGCTTATGTAAACCAAAATATGCAGGTAGATAACTATCGACCCTGCGTAATTTTTCCTACAGTTGTAACAATTTTAAGTAAACAGGATAATGCCTACAATTGATTTTATATTTTTTTATCTTTGATGACTCTTATTTCGATTACTAAAGAATCAAAAAGTGTTTTAAATTTACGTATCATTTAGAACCTTCAATGGGATGCGGAAATCTTAAAACATACGGGACAAGAGGTTAGAGATCACATGCCTAGGCTAGTTAGTCACATTTATGAAACAGGGAAAGTCCCGGAGAACTACAAAGGGAACATGGTAGTAGCCATACTAAAAAAAGAGAATCGGGGATGGACGCAACACATTTAAAATAATTAGCTTAACGGCTATCAATAGAGAAAATAATAGAAAAAGAAAAGAGCACCTACATTAGGATTTGTAGGTTGCAGATGTGCAGGTGCGTGTCCAACCAGTCTTAGGACAGACGACCTTTTAATATGCGAAATACAAAATGATCAGAACGTTACGTGTCATGGCTCTATATTCCAGTTTTAATGCTTCCCTGGGTACACTGCCCTACATTTATCACTTTCTGAATATAACCCAACCTAACCCAATATAACCGTCGTAAGTACTATCGAGAAATACCGCGACGTAAGACAATAAATTATGCACTTTATAATCGACTGTAGTTTAAAAGAAACCAAGAGGTACCTATTACAAGCACTACTGGCTAGGACTTATTGTTAGATATATTTAGAAGGATATTTGTACATACAATTTCCAACAGTCATTCATGTGACTGACGATAGTTAAGGACTTGATACACAACTTTACCATGGAAACGCCAGCGTTTCCGCCAACGATCTTACAAAGAAAACCCCTTAACCATTTACCTCCCCGATGATGAAATAACTTGTGCGCTTCGACTCCTTGGCTTTATAAGTTGCAAATTTTGTTTTCATTTTCTTGCTCGCGATGTAGAGAGACTAACGACGACAGGTATATTTGTATGTATGTATGTATGTATTGTGTGTACGAATGTGTGGATCTTTGTATGTTTGTACATTATTATTATTATGCGAGGAGATTCCTTGGGATAACAAACAAACAAACAACGAATGTATATAAATATGTACACATATTTATATTATTTATTATATAAAGCGAGTTTGCTTCAATCTTTTGTGGTTTTATCTTTGGGGTTTCTTTCCTTCGTTATTACAAGAACGAAAGAAGGGAAATTATTTTGACCCAGTTTTCAAAATAATTTATCGTAACTAAATCTCGAAATTAAAAATTATATTGGTAAATGTCTAGATGATGGGGGTGGGGGTAGGTGGGTGGTATCGAAAGAGGAGGTCGTCTCCTCCACCACTGTACCATAAAAACTTCGTGGCGGTCTCACCCCCATAAAAGTTATGGGGGTTAGATGAGGGTGAGGGTAGGGGGGATCAAAACAGGGTATGGGGGATCGAAAGCGGGTGGTCACCTGAGTAAAACTCCATAAAAAGTTTGCGGCGGTTTCACCCCCATAAAAAGTTATGGGGGTTGAAAGTTGATTATTTTGACTATTTTCATACACTGTAATTCAAATAAAATTCAATAAAAAAATTATTTTCAAGTGGGTGGAGGTGGGGGATCGAAAGAGGGTGGTCACTTGAACAAAATCCGATAACCTAACCCAACCTAACCTAATCTACCCTNTAAACTCTATTCGTCCATTAAAATAACAGTTCTTATTCTACAGGTCAAAACAACATAAAATATATATTTTTTTGGTAGGAAGACTAAATATTCATTGTTATCTACAATAAATTACTAACCTCATTGGAGTATGCAGAATTAATGAAGAAACGTCCTAGAGTATTGCTTTTAATTATTTGTATCCAGTTCACGAGGAAATTTGGACATTGTGATTTCATTTGAATTATTCTGTTGAAGATCACGGTCAATAACAGATGCGTCGAACACAGAATCATCGAATCGCGAAAGAAAGTAACTGAAAGAAAGATCGTGTGTGTACTTAATGTTGTACATGCGCAAGAAGTTAACTTAATAACAATTATGTACTCATTTACTTTCCATTACTTAATTAAATAATATTATCGTGCAGTATTGATACATTTCCTGACAGAGGTGCGAATGCACCCCAAACAGCAAACAGCGGCGACCGCCGAAGCCAGAGCCACTCGTTATTTTTTCTTTGTTAATTTAACATTTTCTCTAATGTACATCACATACCTATCAAAGGTGTTTTCCCTGCAGAAGCCGGTATTTGCCAGAAAATATGCTGGACGTACATAAAATGACACACAAGATTAAAACATCCAATTCGCGGTCTATCCGGATTCTTAAAGTTCATGAAAGTCGTTGTTAGTACCAACATTACTAAAACTGATAAAACAATAATTGGCAGATAGTACAACAAATGTAAATAATAGATAGCCTTTTTTATCTTTCGCACGTAGGGCTGCAAAGCCATTTGAAAACTAAAACTAAAAAATTATGAATCTAGCATAACTAAAACAGTTTTCGAATAATTTGGACCTCAGTCTCCTAAATACCACGAGGTGTCCTAATTTATTGTGAAAAAGTTTATATATAGGACAAACAGATCCTTCTTTTGAAATTTGTGTTCGAGAACATTTTAATAACTTTCTTTCAGCAGAAGATTATATTTACTTGAAAGCCTGAAGGTCAGTTGAGGTATTAAGCGAAACAGTTGTAATGGACTATTAAATTAACTTGAAACACTGTTGATGAGGCATTATATGAGTGAAAAAGGTGGTATTTATGTTTTGTTTTTAAAGAATTTATCATTCGTATACTGCTGAATGAATTTTCATAATTTTGTAAGAACTGTTCTGTTTGAAATATTAAGAAATGTTCGATTCATATTTACAGGGGTAATATTGCGATAACTTCGACAAAGTAGATTTATACTTTCAGTGTGCAAACAGTCTGTATTAAATAAAATAATTCGTGTCTGTGTTCTGTCGGAGCTGCCTGCGACGCGCTGATGAGATCCAAATAGATCGAAATCGCGATCCGCGTCTGGCAGTTTCGACAGAATACAGACCACTTCGAATTATTTTATTCGATTAAGCTAACGTGCCTATCACGNAAAAAGAATGATGGCCGACAACTGCAACAATTAGAAAAGAATGATGGCCGACAACTGCAACAATTAGAAAAGAATGATGGCCGACAACTGCAACAATTAGAAAAGAATGATGGCCGACACTACGTCATAGTGGAGCTCTAAAAATGGCCGGGGGCAGGGGGAAGAACTAGTTATTATTAAATCAAAAATTACGTTTTGTATAGAAAACAGCTATGGTAATCACAAAGGCACATTAATGGTCCTATAAGAGGCCAACGAAAATTTCATTAATTTTTAACCCCCTTCCACCATATAACACGGTAGTAACACCATGCCTAACCTCCCCCCCTCTTTCACAATTTCATTACGTAAAGCGTGAATTGTAAGTTAATGGTTTAGGTTGGAAAAACTTTAAAAATTTTAATTCCTAATTAACATTAATGTGATACATTTATGTCTGATTTGTGTATGTATCTATCAGACAAGTACTGCTACCAATTTTCCAACTCTAAAATCGTCATGTAACGCAAACCTTCACCCCCACTTCTCCTCACGTTACAAGGGCATAACGCCAGTTTCGATGGGGGGTGCCCCATCCCCAAAGTTGCGTTACGTAATTTATGAACAACTCCTTAGGGGTGCAATTAATCTAAGAATTAATCTCAATTATTTTAGCTGGACTGTTTTAAAGATTCTCATGTCATTACAATCGAAGATCCTTTGGCACTGTTATTAGAAAATAGAAAAATCTATCAAAGACGCCCATATAGGCGTCCTGACGCCACACGTACACAACGATACCGGCGTCGTAAGTGGGTTCGACGTGGTGCGGGATGATGTCAAACGATACCCGACACCAGCCTCATAATTAGACGACGCTACGCGTCGCGACTGATGGTAATGGTGTGAAGCAACAGTGTCTCTACCCGATGTTCCCGACGACGTCGTCACCCTGTTATTAACCCACCACCAAGCCTGTCACCCTTTGGCGTGTATTTATGTGGCTGTAACGCGATCGACCTGATTAAAGGAAAATCGGTAATAACGGGGGCGGTTAGTGGCGCAAAGTGACCGGGTTGCCGCAGCCCACTATATGACCGGCTCCGATTTCTCTCGTTAGGCCAACCATTAAAATACGACTTATTTCAAAATTATTATTATTATTGGCAAATAATTTTTTAATCAGATCAAAAACTATACCATTCCTATTAATGAACAAATAAATAATTTACAATTGTTAATTTTGATTTTAACCTCGCCCCCTTAATAATAATTGCCTCGAAGCGAAAAAAATCATCTTATTTTTTATCAAATTTTAGTGTATTAAACTTTTTACATGTTAAAAATTCCCTTCTAAAACAAGATGTAGGCAACTTAACATACTCTACTGTATTTAAATAGTAGTTCTATATTCAAAATATACATACACCTTGGGGGTGGCACTTTAAAAACTAAATTCACGCAGTACTTAAAACGCAAGGATTGAGAGTCCACATCCACTTATTAGTATCCCGTTATTTAAATATAGTAAATAAATAAGTAAATTGTTGTAAGCTCTATTACCAACCCTGATCGTATTTAAATAGTAGTTCTGTATTCAAAATATACATACACCTTTGGGGGTGGCACATTAAAAACTAAATTCACGCAGTACTGAAAACGCAGGGAGTGAGAGCCCATATTCACTTATTAATCTTCCATTATTTAAATATGGTAAATAAATAAATAAATTGTTGTAAGCTCTATTATCAACCCTGATCGTAATCACGATTATTGTCATAATCGTTGTTTAACTATTCCAACGGCGGGGCTATGCTTTGTGTTTTTAATGCAGCTCAAATGCCTGCCTAAATTCGCTGCTATATGCTAATAACGCAAGTGGAGCGGATGGGAAGGAATGTACACAACCCTTTCGTATGCCCCAATTCAATAATTTACTTTGCTCTACTACTCAATAGAGGACAGTCACGAGAAAGCGATTTTACACAAGCACTATAGCGTCTGGTAATAATAAATATGTAATCTTTTTTTCAATTCTGCCACCCCTGACTATTGACTGCAAAACAATGATATAACATTTACTTTTGGCAACTTAATTTTAAATGTGAATTTTAAATAAACAATAAAACTACTTACAAAGACCATCATTATGAAGAAAGCCGCGAAATAAGAACTTCTGGCCATCCACATGCTGACAAATCTGTAATGTTCCCCAGTCACAACGTTTCTGAAACAATTATAATAAGAATAAATTCAGTGACAAAATTAAGACAAAAAGACTGACATCAATTAACTAACTACTATTTAAATCTGGAAACTGTAGACCATAATAAAAACACATACTTGTGTCAGTAGCAATTCGGATGTAATGTTTGCGTATCATACAAACGATCGAACTTGGCATTGTATGTTCATAAAGAAAAAAAAGAGTGCGGAACAACTGGCCACACGTGCATGACTAACCCAGTGTCATAACAGTATGTCTTCTTGAAATTATTGAGCGAAACAGTTCGTTGCGATATTAATTTTAATTCAATAAGCTTATGAATAAGCATATTACCACTCAAATTAATAAAACGTTTACCACGGTTAAATGATTGTAAATTAAGATAATTACAATACTACACACACAATTACAATTTTACTTAAGACTTTCAAAATAAACTGCTGCTCTCACATTAATCAGTTACAACTAAATTGAGGACTTTACTAAAATTTGAATCAAAATTCACCTTAGATAGCCCTTATTGTCCTCTTTTTCTGCTAAGGTTTTAATTGATGCCATTAGGAGATCATCATATCCCAAAAACTCTTCTAATATAAGACGACTAAATGTGTCACCAAAACACTCATCTTTATTTGGGTCCAGGATAACTATGTGTACAGGAACCCCCAAACGTTCTCTGGCAGAGGGACTGAGACGGAGAAATCCATATTCAAGTGAATATTCCACTATATATTCATCATCGGGCCAAACTGAAACAAAATATGCAAAATATAATATTTATAACAAAATCATTAAATTAACCATTTCTTAAATTATGGCACATCTCTTTTATTAAGTAAAATGATCCATAGATTCACCTGCTTTAGTTAACTTTTCAGTTGGAGACAAGTCTTCTTCTAAATTTGGTATTTCATATTTAACTGTTTGCTCTTTGACTGTCTCATTCTGCCGTATCTGAGAATCTTCTGTTTTCATAAGTGGCCCTTCTTTAACAACAAGTGTCTCACTATTTTTCAAAGGTGTCAAGTCATTCCAAGATGTTTTGGTCACTTCTACAGTGTCAACAGGTACAGTACTTAAATTAGACTCAGCATTTTGGGTTTGATTTGAAAGTGAATTAGTAAAATTTAGGGACTTTAAAGGATCACTTTTACTAATATATTGTTTCTCAAGAGTTGATTCTTCTCTTACAAAACCATCTCTAACTAATAAACCCAGCACATTTGGTACATCTTCTACCTTTTCGTGTTTCAATTTTTGCTCCTTTGCATAACTTTTTTCAATATTGTAGCCCTTTCCGGCATTACGAATTATTTCTACTCTTAATATACCATCTCTTGGCCATGTCTCTTTAACATGATCTAAACAAGTGGCTGGAGACTTTGAAAATGTCATGTGTATATAGACCAGCACAAAAAATGCACAAACAGCTTTTAAAAGGATTACAAACTCTATAAACCTCCGCACCGATTTTGGAAATGTTCTTGCATAAGCTAAAGATCCTCTAAAGAAAACTGTATGGAACAATCTGTCCCTCACAGTAAAAAGGGGGTTCTGGTTGTTGTTGTTGTTTCGTGCACGATTCGTGTTAAATATTGGATCACCAGTTACGTAATTATTCTCCGGATTCACCCTTTCGGATGCCACATCTCTAGGATTTGTTCCAGACATGTTATGCTAATTGCTTAGTCATTTATTAATGTTAAATTTCACCATTTCTTATGGAGACTATGCAGTCCATCAAGTTAACCTCTTTCCTACAATCAAACTTCTTAAAAGTGCTCAAACGTTGACAGAAATACTTACACATTAATTAGGTGTAAAATGCTAATAACTAATGGTAAGTTTAAGTTGACGCAACAAGAATAGAATAAATTATATTTATTGTGGAAACATCACCAGCTCTGACAGCTGTCACAATATCCACATTTTTATTTGAAAATATTGAAAAATTGAAAGGATCTAGATGTGACTACGAACACGTATATGGTGTCGTAAATTACTTATTTTCGTAACTTAATAGATTAAATAATGATTAAACTTCCCATAAAGTAATTGAGCGATAGACTGCTCCTTTTTGAACTCAAACAGTATAAGCAATTGCTGTTATTTTAAATTTAAGATTGTATGATCTCCTCAGTGCCTGTAATCACTAAATTAGCCATGTTGTTTGAGTGAAGGATTCAAAAATCAAAAAGTTATTTAAATGCTGATAAATTTATGTTTTCGTTAATACATAGCTGAATTTTTAGCTAAAATTAATGCTGTGGTTATATATTATGTTAGAGGCCTGTTAATGTGAATATTGTTGAGACACGTATGTTAATGCTGATAAACTATCATCAAAATGATAAGCAACTATTATAGTAAGATGTTCAAAATATTTAAAACATGGACACTTTAATTCAGTTAAATAAACAAACAGCCGGTAGAGATAAACTTGCAAGGTATTTGAAACTCAGGTATTGTTTAATTAGTTTTTAAAACATTTGAATCTGTTTTAGGTTATGTCAATACCTTTCTAGATTTTTGTGGTACAATCTTCAAAATAAGCAAAAGTTTCTTAATAATAATGCTATAAATAATTTAAAAAGTTTAGAGTACCAATTAAGTACATTTCGAAAGTGTAAGTATTTGATTTTTAAGACTTTTAACTTTAATGAAAGTGCAACTTTTTAGTGCTTCGTTGGGGAAGATGTTTGGACGTGGTTTATTCGACGTTACCAATTCTTAATTATCCCTTGGACTCTCGTCGTTTTGTAGATGTATTAACTAAACTAAGCCAAGCATTTTACTTCTTAACTGATCACATTTTATGGTTGGGGAGGGCAGATTTGTGTCAAGTTGATACACACAAGTGGAACCAAATATCAAACAGATACTGGCTTTATACCATTACTCTTAATCTTGTTAAGAACTTCATTGAGATTAATAACCTTTTTAAACTTCACAGTTGCCAATCTTTAATTTACCAAATTTTTTTGGGTACCTTTTCAAGGAATTCTTTTAAAAATGATGTGTCATGGTGTAATGCCCAAACACTTGTACTTATCCAGCGACACAAAGCATTAATAGCTGATCTTATTAAAAATTTATGTGACCTTTTCATACCCCTTACAACTTTGGGCTATTATAATTTATCTCCTGGATTTGTGGGGCTCTTAGGAGTAATTTCTTCTATTGCTGGGTTATTTATATTAATAGACTCTACAGTAAAGTTTATTCCGTAATAAATCCAACATTTTACAATATTTTTACTTCCGTTTACATGTATTTAGCTGTATATTGAAATAAATTAAATACTTTGAATATTATAGATTGAAAAGGCAATTTCTGAAAACTGAGCAGACACATGTTTATTAGTGATTTAGTAACCAAAGCAGACTTAAAAGAAGTTTGTAAAAAGCCACATAATCTTCATTTTTATATTGTTAATGTAATGTATAAATTAATATAAAACTTTTTGTTATTAATATTTAAACACTTGGTAGTTGGTTCACTTTGGCTAGGTAGTAAAAATAGTTTTAGAGATGCTGAAAGAAGACTCTGAAGAAGCATCAAAACGTAATAGTAACCCTGAAGCATTACCAAATGGCATACCACAAGAAAGTGACGACATTCATCTTCCAAATTTAATAAACGGACCGAAAAAGTTGTCATCGAGTTCATGGCCTGACGGAAGTAGAAAAAGTGCTTTTCAGCCATACAAGCAATGTGTTCGTACAGTGTTAACCAACTTACAACGGGGTAATACGCAAGCGGAACCACCAATACCCCAAGAAAAAGATGTAACGTTTCATACTAAAGCTGGTCAGGGTGAAGTTACAGAAGCAAATATAAAAAACGAACAAGACGTCGACGTGTATGATAGCAAAGGCCTTACTGCTTTACACTGGGCTGCAGCATATGGGCAGATTGCTTCTGTACAATTATTAGTTCAGCATGGTGCAGAAATAGATAAGATGAGTCCCGATGGCGAGACACCTTTACTTTTGGCAGCTAATGGGGGTCATCACGATGTCGTGAGACTACTGCTTAATTATGGTGCTAATGTTAACCACGCTGATGATGTAAGAAATATTTCAAGAACAAAGCAATTATTAATATGACCATTATCATCGTAGTATTGTGTAACTGTCTTGTCTAACCTCAAGATACCAAAAATTATGGTCATATTATTATTGATACGAAAAATAACCGAATGCTTCTGGTCTCTTCGAAATCATGAAAGATAATTTTCGTTTTCTCTTTTTAGATTGGAAATACTGCTCTAATGTATGCCGCAAGTGGAAACCACCCTCATACTTGCAACGAACTTCTATTAAGGGGCGCTGATATCACGTTAACAAATAATTGCAATGAAACTGCGTTCGATTTAGCTATTGCTTATAATAGTAACTTAGGTATTAATAATAGTTTATTTACGGATAGATTTATTCATCTAATCTCCTGTTCTTTTAGTACAAGCAGTTATTGAAAATTATTTCCTTACAATGTTTGAATGAATGAGGAAAATCCTGACGCAAAAGTGATGGGAATGTGATAAATACATATGCATAATGGGAATGGGTAAACCTGTTTATTTAATGCTGTAATTATTTGATGTATTTATATATCAAAGTACTTTTTATTATGTAATTGTCTTATCAATTTATGAAAATAAACGAAAGATATACAAATTTTCTTACTGTTATTATTTGTCTTGATGAATATTCAAACTGATATATGCTTTTCATTTGGTAAAATTTACTCCCTGCCTGATATTAAAACATATCCCAAAAATAGCACCAGATATGATACGATATAAAGAATAACAGTTATGTTATCAAGAAGAGTGATAACTAATAACCAAGTGTTTGGTGAGATATTCTCAGCTGGAATGTCTTTATCTTCTTCTGTAGCATCTGCTGAGGACAACTAAAAATAAGATAACTGTAGTACTTTTTTTTAAAAATTCATAACGAAATAAAAATATTAATTAGGTAGCATTTTTATAACCGCAAAACTGCAAATTACAGTTATAAATAATGAAATTTTTAATAATAATCCTTGTTCACTTTTTCTTCTTCCTGTAAATATAATTGTTAACATGTCCTATTATTTTCTTGAATTTTGGCGAAAACCGCATCAAAATTCATTTCGTAATGCTGGAAATACTATCTTTTAAAGTTTTAAAAAATTACACCTTGTATTTAGTGGCGCCTACCACTCTACGAGATGGGAATGAACTTGTTTTACAACCGCATTCCTTGCATACCAAGGTGGCACGCTTACACCGAACAGCTGAGAATTGACCTAATTTCCTATTGGGTCAGAAACCGGCGCGAAGCGTTGTAGCCAACCAGACGCTTCGAAGAGCATTTAAACAATAGATTCGGCATTCCTATGTTAGTAACCCTCGATGCTTTGAGGGATATAGGTCGTTCCGTCAAATATTAGGTTATTATTACGTAAAAAATTATTTTTACATTAATAAAATAATACATGCAATAAATGTAGATTTTATATCTTTTCAAATTAAACAATATTTTGGAGATAGATTTTGATAAGTTCCTGCAGTTAACTCTTGACTTATTATGACTGATTTTATTCATTAATTGCTATTATTATATTATCAAATTTGATAATGGTATAAAAAATAAAGTAGGTGATATAATACTAGATTTGATTATTTACAATATAAGAAAATTAATTTGAGTTATGTAGAACTGATCAAAATAAAACACTAACTCAAAATTCCACATAAAACTTCTGAAATTTTGAATTATTACTCGAGGCATTCAGTTCGGATAGAAAGTAATGTACTTACAATAATTAATCATGCAATTAATTAGATTGTCTTTATTTTTGTAAATCGATATTTTCTTTGATTGCTAACAAAATGTGGGCACATTGTATTTTTCCATTCTATTACAGGTGCCTAAAACGAACTAAATGTTCCTGTAATCTAACGCTAATTGCTCTGCAGCTTTGACCCTTATACATAAACTGGATATCTCAATTTTTAGATTTAATACTGTAAATTGTAAACTTCAGCTTTCTGTTGGACTTTTGTTTTAACTTTTGGATCACCTAACAGACATTACCAGTTTATACAACTCTGATTGTTCAAGTATATGAGGATTTTGTAAGGTACTTTGGTAGGTACAATGGCTTCTAAAAACAATGATGAACTTTATCGTCTTTTACAACAGGCTGACTTTGTTGTAGACATTTACACTTAATTTACCCTATCGTAATGTTTTATTTATTTTAATTCTTCCTTATTTTAATTCTTATCCAATTTTTACACATATCAGTATGTTTTGAAGTGTCTAATTGTTATTTTTTTTTCACTTCATTATCAGTCGTGTGGCATTGGCCCATGAAAAGATTAAAAGCAATTTTATTCAATTTAACATTCTCAGTTGTTTATACGTTTCTGTTATCAACACACCGTTGAAATGCACTTTAAGTGTTTCTAAAAGTGACAAATTCTTTTCTAAACTGTATATGTAAGTATTTACACTTTCCTTACCTAATACAATATTGTTTTAGTTGTCCAATTAAATCTACTATAATAATTAACATGTAACGGTTAAAATTAGTTAACATTTGTTAAGAAATCAAAAGCAGCTGTATACGTTAGATTAGCGTTTAGAATATTTAAAAAAAATAATGAAGTCTAATATCTAGCATATTCATGGAACACTCTGTATATTTTGGTTTGAATTTATGTACGAGATCTCAAGGATCAACCATTCGTCTTTACTTTTATAAAAAAGCAAGTGAATATTCTTAATAGATATTAAAATAGGATTGCATGATTTTTAAAAATCATTTTGAATTAGTAGTTATCTACAATAAATTACTAACCTCATTGGAGTATGCAGAATTAATGAAGAAACGTCCTAGNGGAAATGTTCTTGCATAAGCTAAAGATCCTCTAAAGAAAACTGTATGGAACAATCTGTCCCTCACAGTAAAAAGGGGGTTCTGGTTGTTGTTGTTGTTTCGTGCACGATTCGTGTTAAATATTGGATCACCAGTTGAGACCGCCACGAACTTTTTATGGTACAGTGGTGGGGGAGACCTCCTCTTTCGATCCCACCCACCCCCACCCCCGGGGGTGGGGGCCATCATTTAGACCTTTACCATTATATTTTTTAATCAATCATATAGAGAAAAACAAGAAGATTTCAATAATACTTTGTAGGATTTATTAACCATTAAAACAAAAAAAAGCAAAAGGAAAAAGAGAAACACTTAAAAAAAGGTTGATTTGTCGTTCTTCGAATTCAGGCAAGTTTCAATTACAATACATATTTTAAAACACGAAGCTGGAGCAAAGAGAGAAGGACTCATATTGAATATTAACGATAATGTCGAGTGGAAATACGGGATACGCTACAATTCCACGAACCGCCACTAAATTCATGAAATGTAAAAGAAAAAACAAATCCAAAATGCTCATTCAAATATTTCAACATTAGTTTCTAACTACGGTTAATGTAATTCTCGAAGATCTAGTTCGTGTTAAAATAGAAATGCACAGGACTTACCGATGAACACGAAAATCTGATGATGGGAATAACGCAACAGCATGGACACGGACACCGTCTGAAAACAAACCACAGTCGTAAACAAACAGTTGCACCTACACAACTAGAACTAATTGCCAATAATAACAAAAAAAGCTAATAAATAAACAAGCAAACAAGTAGCGCCTAAAAATGAAATTATTGTTACATTCAACGTGCATACGTCTGTGACAATTGGTGCCTACAATATATTCCGCAAATAATTAAAAACCAATAAACAGCTGGTTCGACCGAAAATTATGAACTGTTTAACATGTAAATTTTATGCATCTGCCATCAACGTACAGGTAAATTCAATTCCGGCCCTCGTAAAGGTATAGGGCGCGCAACGCTGCACTCAATAACCTGGTGATTACATTACTACATCAGTGTAGTAATTCTTTTGTATTTTTTTGCTCATACATTGTTTATTTGTTAGATTAGATTAAACCTTGTATGAAGCAATCGATGGCAGTTGAATAAACTAATTCAGGAATACAACATCGATCCCTAGTGCAGGTCAGTCTCTGATTGAACCACACAGCCGCTGTCGGGCAAAACTCTCGGTTTTAAAGGAGCAGTTGCTGCATCCTTATCATTTGCAGCGAGTGCAAGCCTTGCTTGAAGCGGTTATTGATTATTGGTAAAACTTTTCTGGTAAATTTACTTACAACCACTTCCAAAAAGGTAATGCGCCTCAATAATAGCTCAGGGGTAGTGTGAAAATTTGCCTTAATAAAATTACAATTATCCAAATGATGTTCATCTACCGATTAATATTTACGTAACTAACATCTTTTCTTTCCTATAAGTTAGTACATTTACATAGTGCTGCCAGTGTCAATTTACGCACAGGACCGGCTTCCGATTGTAAATTATTGTGATTTTCTTAAGAAATATTTTGCCCTTAACCACCCCGCTGAACATTACATCTAGTTTACATCCTCCAAAGCTCGGCATTTATTTCTATTACACCCTGTACAGTATCCACAAATTCCTGTTTACAATTAGGTCAATGGTACAAAGTTAGTACCTACATCAAAAATATTTGTTTAAAATTGCTAATACTAATACCTATAATTACCATTTTCTACATTTCCCCAAGTATATAAAAAGTTAGGTGGATATATTTATTTATGAACTGAAAAGTAGAAAAACAATTTTATTCGGAATTCAAATTCTAAAACATAACTAGTTTTGCTGTCAAAACTTCAGCAGACTTTCGATTGAAATATTTTTTCTCTATTTCTATTTCAGAAGGTCCTTTTTCAAATAAAATTTTAGTAATTTTGTTTCTCGACGGCCGACGTTTAATGATTTAAAATATTCATTTTTTAATCACTTTATGTTTAATTTAGTTAGAAAACAATATTTTTATTTCTTCTAATGCCAGCTGTAAAAAGTTTCTTCTTTGTAATTTAATTTCAAAAAAGACAAGATTAATAAATGAAATGCTGGTTTCTTTTTTGTTGCGTCTACGCACAACCGAAATTAAAGATAAATAATGTAACCTACCAAGATGAATAAATAAAAGTGAATTAAGAATAAATCCTAAAGAAAAAAGTGTTTTTAAGCAGTTTTGAAAGATATTAAGGAAGTTTGGAGATAATGCCCACTTAAGACAGATAATGTCGTCAAGCCAAATAACGAAAATTTTAATTAAGTCCCTGACAGGACCGTAGGCACGCAATTAATTGAAAAACTGTAATTGCCGCCGCCAGCTATTTAATGACAGACAACCCGAAGAAGCCATTCGAAGGAAATTAGACGGTTTTGCCGGCAAACAAAAACAAAAGTTACTCCAACTCGTCAAAAAACAGAACTACAAAATAAAGGGCCGAATCCCTAACAAGTATCTACTAACTAATTTGTTCGACGGCACCAAAATATTTCTTTAAACAAATGCAATCCAGAACCACGTAAGGTTATAGTTTCCAATGATATGCTCTAAATTAAATAAAAAAAGTGGCAAGTAGAATTAACATTTTTAAAATACAATAGAAAAAAAATAATAAAACCACCTTACTATTTCATGTTTCAACTTATTTATAGCTTTACTCTACAATTGTTTTAGCTTTATAGGTAGGTACTCTTAACAAAGGCCTAAAAATCCGAAACAATTGAAGTGTAAAACTGTAAATAAATTGAAACATTAAAAAGCAAAGTCGTTTTACTTCTGCAATATTACAAAATGATACCCAAAAGTAGGATTTTCATTTCAACATTTTTTTTTAATGAAACTTCATTTGAAACCACTGTTTAGTGGAAGTCTTCAAGGGGTACATTTACAATCAGCCCTTCTAGAAAATTTTACGATGTTATAACGATAATAATAAAATAAAAATTCAGGAAATAAGATTACATTTGCACTGTAATTTACTTCCTATATTTCATCCTTAAATGAAGGAAATAGCTCTCTCTTTATAAAATTAATACAAATGAATATTTGTTTTGAGAAATTTGTTATAATTGGACCACGTTTGTAACGTGATTTTTATGGTCCCTTTTTATGTTAGGTACTCTTCTCTCTCAAAGAAAATATATATGTATAAGCAATAAAATGATATATAAAAATGTATCTGTTGATTTAAAAGGAATATTTCCCAAAATATTATATATCAATAAAATGTTTACACAAATGCTCTTTATCACTTCTTCACTTTTAAATTTCAAGTTGTTAAGTGTTAAATCAATACTCACTTTGCAAAACTTAGAAACTGAAAATCCTGACTTCACATGTTTCCTACGATAATACTCGAATATCTTCTTTGTCAAAAAATTTGAGGGTCGTTAATATTATATATAAAAAAGAATTATGANATATCCACACAAGTGGACCTTGTTGGAGCATACGTAATCCTAAAACGTAGCATCGTGCTACAGATGGCGTTTACTGCGCCATTTGTAGTATTTTCTAAAATCTGTATTAAACCTAATTTATCATATAAATAAGACAATTCTTGATAACGGTGACAGTTTGAATAATAGTATCTATCTGCAGGTAACTTTCAACTTCTTTAAAAACTTACTTAGAGCTGGAGTTATGATTGTGGCGATAAAAATAGAATTTCGTCTTTGGAGCGAATAGTTACTTTGGAATAATGGTTTTATAATTCGCGTAGTATTTTGTTTATCGAGTATAATTGCCTCGACACTCAATAAATCCCATTCTGAATTAGGCGTGAGGTCTTCCAAACTTATAGGACCTGAGTTTTTTGTGTTAAATTTAAAATCGACTTCATTAGTTGCATCAGCCCAGGTCCCATATATAACTACACATTTCTGCTTGTCAAAAGGGTAATACAGTAGATCAGCTACACATAAACCATTGTGGCCCGCTGGGATTACACAAATGACTGTTCCTGTGGACTGCGCCAAACATCTTGTATTGAAACCGTTCAGGCTCTCCGAAAGGTCACTCCTAAAGCGTTAAAAGTGAAACTAATTAGGTATAAGGCACTGTAGCAAAACTCATTTGTACAATAAGTAAATAAAAGTTTGAAAAATGTCAAATTAAATACAAAAGTTCCACTTATATATGTACACGTATATTATTACCTGGTGAGTTCAGACAATTTGGGGGTCCATATTTCATCAGTGTTTACATACACCCTCGTTAAGGATTGATAATCAGTGGGATTCCATTTTAATCGTTCATCATCCCAATACTACAATTATAACAAGTTTGGACATCCGTATGCATTTTAATAACTCATATTATCTTACCATTATTATCCAATTGTGAACTGATAAAGTATGCTCAAACATGTCCTAAAAAATTTTATTTTGTTAAAGTTGGTTATATTTTAAGGCTTGGTGCATGGAGATAAACAAATAAATTTTGAAATATAACTTAACTGAAACCAGAACAAGCTAAAGCAAAAAAAAAATTAGAGGTCGTTTAGAATCCCATGAACCTTTATGAATTGGGATGTACAATAACTAAACTCTATTCGTCCATTAAAATAACAGTTCTTATTCTACAGGTCAAAACAACATAAAATATATATTTTTTTGGTAGGAAGACTAAATATTCATTATATAAACGATCAAGAAGAGCAACAAAATCTCATGAATTAAGTTTGAAACTGTTTTAATTTAATTTTATCGCAAAATAAACTAATGAATATTGTTAATGTACTCACATAAGTAAAATATTTGAGTAAAAACTTAAGATTAACGGTAACGGGTTGGTTTAGTTTTGATCCTGGACGATCCGATTTCTCATATTTACACAAGAGATCATGCCTCAATTGTGCAGTTCCAACATCAAGAGGTTTTTCTGAACAAAAATCAATGCCTGAAACAAAATATCATTACTACCCACTACACATCATCGGTAAATTGATTAAATATTACCGTTAATCATTATTGTCGAATTTAAAATAAAAAGAATCACCGTAAGAATTACTTTTTTAGACATTTTGTATAAGAAACTGACCAGGGATAAACTAACTATACAATAACACGATATGCTAGCTGGTTTACGCCCCTGGCACCGAAATTTAATATCTAATATACAGATATTAAATGTGTATCGACAGATGACGATTGAAGCTGAATTTTAATGACTTCTCTTTTATCTTTTTACCAGCAACGACGAACATATTTTTTATAATCTAATATGTAACTGGATAGACATAAAAGTTTTCAAATATAAAGGGATAGATATGTGAGAAATAAACCTTAAGGGGTCGTATGTGTGGTTTAAACAAATCATTTTCAAATTTAAATTAAAAATTTTTTATTGAATATTTGCAACAATTTAACTCTAACTAACTAAGTCATTCAGTTCCCTAAAAAAATCAAAATATTTCTGTTTGTTTAATATCTAACAAAAATCGGGCATAGCACTTTTCTTAAAAACACCCTAAACTATTAATTGCCCGAAGCGCAGGTTCATACTCATTACTATGTGGCTGGAACTTACTTAATAAGTTTTAAGTGTTTTTTTTTAATAGAAAAAAAACGAAAGGTGCATTCAAAAAAAGCGATAATAATGAGAGCTTTGATTTGAGACTTCGATCACCCTTCTAACTTGTATACAATAAGTGGAATCCATTTAATAAGATTCAAAAAAATCATGTTATTTGTCTAGGAACGACTGATATGGGACCTTAAACTAGTAACACTTATAACACAATCAAAATTTGTCCAGTTGTGTTACTTTTATCTAATTTTAAGTAAATCGGTCGATAGTCAAACATGGGCCGCCCGCGTAGAAGGGTGTTACAGTGATTTTACTCAAAATGTCTCTGTATTGTTCTGTAGTTATGTGGATGTGAATTTTTTCTGTTTTCGTCGGTTGGAGTTACTCATGGACCACGAAAGTCTTTATTAATTTGATAGACACAAAAGAAATATGTTAATAATTTTATTGCCACTACTAATTGTTTTTACAAATTATTTTAAATGTGTTACATATAATATTTAAAAACACTTCCTTACTGAATAACATCGTTTTATTTATGAATAAGTATTTGCATCGTTAACGTAGTTATTGAAATTCAAGGAATGAACTTAACAACCATTATTAAATACAATAGGCAGTACACAGCAATTGTGATTCGATTAAGTAAAACTGCAAAAAGAATCCAATTTTCGTGTTTTTCTTGTTCCTTTAAATTTACAATTGTCTTTCCTTCTTCATCGTCTTCGCTATTTGAAACAGCAATCTTAAAAGGAAAACTGGTTTATTCACAATTTCAAAATTGACGAAAAACCAGCTACATTTTTACCTGAACGCTGTATTTAAATGTACCAATCGTTTGTCCAACGTAACTTGACACAATCCAATTAATACATTTTGGAGGGTTCTTTTTATTTTGTGCAATTGTTTTATAGACTATCGTCAGTACAATCAATATTGCACACAATAGCGTTGAATCACGAAAAAATATAACTATAAACATTAAAAAATGTGAACGAATTTGATTGTAGTTAGTTAAATATATATGTGCACACCTATTAGTGGTTTGCTTCCAGTAATGGGAATCTGCCAGTAAATATTTTGAATATAAAGCAAGTGGCACACTAAATTGAATGCTGCAATATTCACTCTGTCAGACGATTGGAAATCCATCAGAAGAATTGTTAATGTTACGAACATCAAAACTGGAAGTTAAAAAGTGTTAATGTATTCTATCTGTAATTCAAAAATTAATCAAAATATTTAATTAATTTGATATACATGATACATATATTGAATTATGTGTATATTATTTTTAGACAATACATAGTACTGTAAAGCTTTCTATTGGGAGGTTGAATTTCCTTTAAATATCAAGTTTAACCACGCTAATCATCTATGGGGGATCAGTCAGCCTATTAGTCCTTATTACCTCGTCTAAAAGACAAACCCCTAACCCTTATCGCTTTACTTAAAACAGCGGAATCCAAATGTCAAGTTTAACCGGTTTACTACTTTTTGGGGATCAGTAGACCTATCTGTAATTAATACCTCTCCCCAAAAACCATCCCCCAAATATTTAGCACTATTTACTTTATGTGATACCTTATTTACCTACTGCAGGAGCAATAATTGCTGCCCTATATATTCCAGCGTATCTCTGGAAAACGAACACATATTTTAGAAAAGGGAAACTTTCGCCGTTAAACATTCCCGGGTCCCAAAAACCTGCCACGTTTATAACGTTCCATTGCGGACTTGGAATGTATGCATCAGTTGTTACAGACGGATCGGCAAGTGTAAAATTAATTTCTTCTCCACTATGAACCCAAGATCCATATTTTATGTAACACGTTTGTGTGTCATACGGAAACCATGTAAGGTCTGGTGAACACAGACCATCATGTTGTGACGGTACCAAACATTGTATATGACCATCGTATGAGGCTATACACCGGGCCGAACTAACGACCTCAGGTTCTTTAGATAAGTCATGTCTAAAACGTTATTTATTATTATTTTTAAGAAGGAAACTTTGGAAACAATTGTATAAAATTAAATTAGCTAACAATTTTTAAACTTTTGACTAAACTACTGACTTGTTGTAAATAGATAAATCTGGTAACCAAATTTTATCTCCTGGAAAGTCAATTTTTGTTAATGATTCAAAATCTTTCGGATTCCACTGAGCATGTCCACTAGAAAACTTCTAAATTAAAAGAAGATCTCTTATTATTACATAATTTAAGAAAAGTACTCATTAAGTTTATCTTACCAATTCTAGCCAATTATTTACCAAAAGTTTGGACTTTTGCACGTCCTGCAAAGACAATTGATAAGCATGTACAAAAAGACAGTCGAATTTTACTTATTGATAATCAGTTAGCTATAATAAAATTGATAAATTACAATAATTTTGTTATGATAATATGACAATCAGTCTTTTACTGAAGATGACCAACGTAAGGTATCGAAACCGTATTAGATTTCTGATTCGAACTGATCGACCGCGGTCTTCAGTTGCAACTGAGATTCCGAGGTACAATCTTCGACCTAGGAATTAAGCTGCCAACTGAAGATAACTGCCGAAGTTGCAGTCGAAACGTTCGAATCAACAAGTTCCTTTTGACCAAAGCCTATCAGTCCGGCTGTACCTCTTTGTAACACTTACAAATCTGATGAATGCCAAGTGTAAAGTAACTTGGACGTTAGTTGTAGTATCTGGTGAGCTTTTGTGCTTTAAAGAGCAAAGCAAACGATTTCTTAACCGTGTTATGACAGATGTGGTCGTTTTGGTACATGGATCGTCCTGAGAATCGTCTGGAATAGAAATGCTACATATATGTGTTCTTGCTATAGTTAGGACATTCAAAATTGGCACAGTCCGCAATAAAACTGTCGCATTTAGTTTCTTCTTTCAACTTACTAACTAGACCAGAGCGGTTGCTAACAAAACACGACAGACATCGTATTCTCACAGATAGTTTATAACCGATTTTGCCAATTTTGATAGTCCTAACCGTAGGCATTTTGGTAACAATTTAAATAATAATTAAACAATATCAATTTTGCTTTCCTTTAATTGCAATTAAGAAGATGGCGATCATGACAAACTAACTTTTCTTTAAAGAAAATAGGAAAATCTTACCGCATAGGGCTGATACCATTAGCAAAAGAAAAAGAACAGTTCGGTAGGCAATCATCTTCATTACTAAATTATAAAGCTGCCACAATCCGTGGAATACAATCTTACTACGCCCTAATATACCAATTGATAACGAAAACTATTAATAAACTAATTCATCGTCGGTGTACGTACATGCAATTTTTACTTGTACGTTAAAACGTAAAATTAGTTAAATAAATCAAGGAAATGAAAACATAGTAGAATCACCATAAGTAGGCAATCCTCTTTTAGTAAATATTTTCAAAAAAAATCTTGATCTAAATTAATCGCATTAGGTAAACTAATTGTATTAGTAATTGTTACTTCTAATGGATACTTATAAATAATAACCACAGTACATTTTTTGAGTTTTAGTACAATTTTGGACTGTAGCCCTCTATAGGGATGATTTTGATAAGTTTGATTACAATAGACGCAGGTCAGTCTCTTATTTTAAGTCTCTCATTGATTAAGACGACGCTCAATGTTGAGTGCTTGTTTCTAGGCGCTGCTGGTGTAACTTTGTGTTTGGTCCACATATAAAAGTGAAATTGCATATCGTTTACAAAGTAATTACTGGTATATTGGTCATAAACAATACAAGGCTCGTTCTGCATTGGTCGAGGACAACATAAATTTGTTTACGTTCCCATTTTACTTTTTTACGCAACGCAATCTATTTCTTTAAACCTGTAATCGATGGAATTATGCCATGTACAATAAATTTGTTTGCTAAGACATTCACGCTTAACTGTTTATTCGTGTTGTCCGTTTTTTTAATCGTTCAGAATGTCTAATAAGAACGCCTATAACTGGATCCGTACCTGTTGAAAAGCATTCGCGCCAGTGTGGATTTTGAGTTTTAATTTGTATCTATCCAAAAATCTGCCTAGCAGTACGTTCATTTTTGCGTAAATATAAATATGTATAGTGTTGTGGCATAATCATGACATGCTTTACTTAAAATAATTCGAAAGATAAGCTTGTGGATTGTTGAGTAAAGTGGTACAGTGGTTTAATCTTCAGCCTCATTATTTTTTACTTGTAACAGGTAATGACAGAATAATAAAATTTTCTATTGAATATTTGCAATAGTTTAACTCTACATAGCATAGTTATATATTTTTTTGTATAACTATTAGCTGTTAACTTTTTAACGTTTTTTAACTAATTTATATTTATTTATGATTTTATTTCTTCAAGTTTTTAATGATTTTAATTAATTATTACATATTTTATCCTTACCTGTGTTTGTCAGTTATGTTTTTTCGTGGGTAATCGACTTTTAAAAATACCTTAATAAAGCCTCTAATCTGAGGCGAAAGGTTGGTTGTGTTTTAAAATAAGAAATCTTTTCATCCCTTATTTGGCACATATTACTTTGGTAAAGGACATTACATTGCTTGTACCATGTATCAAAATGTGAATTGTAATCAGTTATTAACGTTATTTCTAGACCACATTAACTATTTAAATGCATGTCTTTGCAAACTTATTCATTAAATCAAATTCATCATCATAAGGCCGTCAGTCCTAGGACTGGTTGGACACGCACCTCCACTCATTTCTATCCAGAGCTAATCTTCGCATTTCCTTAAACCTAGAACAACCCACATCCTTAACTATTTGCGAACAGTAATCTAATCTAGACCTACCTATACCCCTCCTAACTCCCATTATTACTTCTAATATGTTTCTGAGTAGACCTTCATACCTGAGAAGGTGTGCTACCAACCTATCTCGTCTCTATTTCTTCTTGATTTCCAAAGAATCCTCTGTTCTCCTATTCTTTCTAACATCTCTTCATTTCTAATATTCTCTATCCACGGTATCCTCATCATTCGTCGGTAATACCATATTTCGAACACTTCTAACACTTTCTGTTCCGGCGCGCCCACCGTCCATGTTTCGCACCCGTACAGCGCCGCACTCCAAACATACACCTTTACAATCTTTTTTGAATTTCTAAATTAACCGTTCGCGAGCATAGAAGTGACTGCTCTTTATTGAGGACGACTCGACCCTGCGTTATCATCTGCTTTATATCCCAACTACTCCTTCCGTCCTGACTTATCTGATTTCCTAGATACCTAAAATGAGCCACTTCTTCTAATTTTTCGTCTCCTAACTTTATATTCGCTCTTTCCCTACTGTTTTTTCCCTTGCATACCAGTATATGTAGCTTCTAATCAGTAATGCACACGCATAGATAGTATGTTACATGACATCCTATCGTAAATACTAAATACATTGTGTAGTAACAAATAAGGAAGTACATACATATGTATCTTGTAGATACCATGTAGATATAAAAAAATAACGTTGACTACAATTGTTTTCCTTTTTCAGTTTCTCCTAGTTTGGTGTGATGTTATCTATAAGTGTTTTAATTACTATCTGTTTGAAATTCTGGACAGTTGAATGTCTTAATAATGGTTTAGCCCTTACACCTCCCATGGGATGGATGACATGGGAAAGATTTCGTTGTATAACAGACTGTGAACTGTATCCAAATGACTGTATAAGGTAGAACATCTAAAATGGTTTTAATTATTTAGTGTTCCTTAATCCTTCTTGTATGATGCTATTATTATAGCATAATTTGAGAGAAATTCGAACATTATATGTTCAGTTTTTTTGGGTTTTTCGCAAGTATTCGCTAATTTCTGAAAGCACGATCAACTGTATTTCAAAATATAATGATTTTCTTCAATTATTTTCCTACTATCGGTAATTTTTAGCGAAAAATTGATCAAAAGGCAAGCAGATCTCATGGTGTCTGAAGGATATTTGAAGGCTGGTTACGAATACATAGTTGTTGACGATTGTTGGATGGATAAGGAAAGAGATTCCGATGGACGATTGAAACCTGCCCCGAAACGCTTTCCCAATGGGATAAAAGCTCTTGCTGATTACGTGCGTGATCTCTTTAATGCACTTAATACACAACTAAAGTAATACCTATATTATTGTTGATCAAATGTTGTGTTCATTCTTGAGTTTTCGACATTTAAAAAGACAATTGTTGTTGATGTTGGTACTTACAGGTTCATAGCAAAGGGCTAAAGTTCGGTATTTATGAAAATTTTGGAACTTATACTTGTGCAGGTTATCCTGGGATGTTTGAACATGTAGAAATTGATGTCGAAACTTTTGCTTCATGGGAAGTTGACTATATTAAAGTTGATGCTTGCTATTCTTACAAAACACTTTCGGCAATGGAAGAAGGTATAACTTTTTCACAATGAAATTTTGGCGATCATAATAATTAATAATTATCCGAAAAAATAACATACAAATATGAGTACATTAAATCATACCGAGTAAATTTATTAATATTAAAACCAGAAAAGATAATCACTCATTAGAAGTATTAGGAGAATAGAAACGGCAATCAGAATCTTGTTTTTATTCCTAGGTTACATTCACCTAGGACAACTCCTTAACAAAACGGGTAGACCAATTGTTTATTCCTGTAGTTGGCCGGCCTATTTTGAACCATTTGGGATCCAAGTAAAAAATACAAATATATTTATACAGTTATCAAAAATCAGGAATACTGGATATAAAACAGAAACAAATAAGTTTTGCGAAAAACGTTTCAATAGGTCAATTATTATTTTTTGGGATTGTATGTTAACATTTTACACTGGATTGTGTTTGTGAGTTATGCGTTTAATTGTTTAAAAAAACCTTCTTCATGTTTCTCATGCAGAAATCGATAAAATGAAGTTTTGTTTTCTGAATAATCAAGCAGAGACAATTACCGATCAAGTAGAAGGCATTCAGCAAAAACACGTTATTTAGTATAATAGTAAAAATTCGAAGAAATTAATACACTGGAATCTCGATAAGATAAAGACCAAGGGAAACGTAAAATAATTTGAGTTATTGAGGTTTTTAGTTATCAAGGGTTTATATTTAAGCTTTAAAATTATGGATTTCCAGTGACTTAGCAAACTGTTCAGGTTTTTCCTTTAGTATAGGTCCACTAACACTAATGCTTTTACATATTTCTACACTGTCTAAACCATGTAAACAAACATCTTTCTAAATTAGGAAATTCAGCAATTCTTCGTCTTCTACATAGAAGACTTTCTCCCGATTCAAACCACTTTTCACTACTTACTGAGGTGCGATGTCCAAATTATTCGTTTTTATTTTAAGTAATAGAGGTTTTGGACTCCAAGGGGAATGAAACACAAAATTTTATGAATTTATAGAAGTTATTACGTTATCGAAGTTTAAGTTATCAATGTTCTACTGTATCTATTTGGTAGGTAATAATTGATTGAGATTGTTGAAAAAATAGAACTAATCGTGAAATGATTTTTACAAAGAAGTTGCTATAAGGGCTGAATTTAGCGTTTTTCACAAAATTTTATAGTTTTCATTTCAAATCCAGTTTTTCCTGAATTTTCTTACGAACCGCATCCTGAAGCAAGTTTCGCCTATTTTAGGCGAATTATAGTGTTTTAGCAAAGGCCTGTAACTTATGGCGAAATTGGGATGACATAGACGATTCATGGGGCAATGTAACCAATATATTAAAGTGGTTCAGTAAAAATCAAGATCGATTAAACCCATACCATGGGCCAGGGCATTGGAATGACCCCGACATGGTAAAACGATCAGATATTAGGTTATTCATATATTATGGGCATGCTCAAATGGATTTGAGACATTCGTAACGTCCAACAATCTTTTTTGTTTTCGTTTTTATTTATTAGTTACTTCTTGGGAACTTTGGATTGAGTTATGACCAAAGTAAAGCGCAAATGGCCATTTGGGCGATAATGGCAGCACCTTTATTAATGTCGACGGATTTGAGCACAGTCGAACCAAGAATAAAAAACATTTTGCAGAATAAGGAAGTGATTGCAATAAATCAGGATTCATTAGGAATGCCTGGGGTTTTAAAAATGACGGTAAGTTAGAAATAAGTTTTATTCAGGTGGCATTTGATTTTTGCTAAACACTTTCAGTAGCTTCCCATTAAAAGTATTGCATTCAAACGTAATTAATATTTATTTCAATTAATTATAATCCATTGTATATATGTATAGATCATTTTTTTGTAAACGTTTGATGTCTAAAATTGAGGAAAAATCACCCACAGAAGTCTATCTACCTTTCTCTTGTTATTCAATGTAATAAAAAGAAATATAAGCACAATCATTTAATGAACTTAGTACATAGTAAACGATGCAGCGGTGATGTAACTTGAACACTAACAGGAAATAAAAAATTGCTTATAAACTGCTGTTTATGGGACGGCTTTCCTTTCCTACTTCCTGACAAAACCTTCAGAACCTGCTTGTGCTTGCGCTTGCGATGCAGCTTGACTTTGTGACAAGTTGATATTGATGTTTGTTGCTTGACTTTGTGCTTGACTTGAAGCTTGACTAGAAGCTGCCNAATATTTAAAAAAAATAATGAAGTCTAATATCTAGCATATTCATGGAACACTCTGTATATTTTGGTTTGAATTTATGTACGAGATCTCAAGGATCGACCATTCGTCTTTACTTTTATAAAAAAGCAAGTGAATATTCTTAATAGATATTAAAATAGGATTGCATGATTTTTAAAAATCATTTTGAATTAGTAGTTATCTACAATAAATTACTAACCTCATTGGAGTATGCAGAATTAATGAAGAAACGTCCTAGAGTATTGCTTTTAATTTTTTGTATCCAGTTCACGAGGAAATTTGGACATTGTGATTTCATTTGAATTATTCTGTTGAAGATCACGGTCAATAACAGATGCGTCGAACACAGAATCATCGAATCGCGAAAGAAAGTAACTGAAAGAAAGATCGTGTGTGTACTTAATGTTGTACATGCNAAAAGTATATCTGAATTTGTTAAGAAAATTTAGACTGAAAATTGTTGTTGAGTACGTTGGGTTGTCGCTATTTTATTAATAAATTATTAAATATTATATAACATGACAATATTTCTACAATTACCGTTTTAATTTTTACATTCTATAATTGCCTAACATCATTTGTTCGTAACCACATTTTTTTCAATAAAAACGTAAAATTTAATTATATGAATATCTATCAATTTAAGCAAAAATATAATGACTACTTATCTTACCTTCGCCATTAACAGCAACAGTAACAAAAAGAACTAAAAACGTAATACAATTTTGATACCTCATGATCACGTCGACTAAGACCTGATGGTCTATCAAAAACTAAGACTATATTTTAGAATCTTTAAATATATATTTCGTCATTTACCAACGAAATTCATTATCATATTTATGAACTATACCTTGGGTTATTCCGGATGATTTGGAATACCACTTTAACGTTGACACATATAAATTATGTCTAATGCCAGAAGCCATCCGTGGCAGATACGTAAATTTATTTTTCAGTTACATTTTCTTTAACCTTTGAAAAACATCCTGCTAACATTAAGAAAAAAACACATTACGTATGATACCTTTTAAGTACGAACGGACTTCTAGATATAGATATTAGAGAAGTTCATGATCCTAGCATAATTTCTTAGTTACAAGAATATTCCATTTTTCATTTTCAACTATTGTGTAATTTTAGGAAAGATTAAAGAAACAAAAATAATGAAGACCAATTGCTTTTCTTTAGTCTTTTTTCAACTTGGTACTTCAACAGTAGTCAGGGATACTTATTAAAAAAGCATTTATTATATTTGTTATCTACAATAATAAAAATGCAAAATAATTAGAAACCATCAGTAGTTTTATAATCTAAAAGAAGTTTTCAGTTTTTTTTTACCTTTTTCTGGTACCTATACTGGAAGAACAATGAAAAATTCAACTGATAATTGTATAATTTATACAAATTACTATTTAATTCCTATTAGTTTTATTAAACAATAAAATAATATGAAATAAATGCAACATGTATTTATGTACATTGTGTACGAACAATTCTGGCAACTGTCTGGTACACAAACAAAATAAATAACATTTAGGTATATTTAAATATATTCACAATGTTACAATTTAACCTTCATGAGAATCTTTCCAGTTTTTAAAAATGTTTACCACTTATGCATATATTAATTGTTGATCATATGCTTACTGAATTTTTAAAACAGGTTTAAACTTTATCTTTCCTTAAAGGTTAAAAAGATAGACGTTTGGATGAAACCTATTCTCCCAATTGTTGAAGGATCTCACACAATTGCTGTTGGATTTTTAAGCAATAGAATCGATGGGTATCCTTATAAAGTGGATGTCCGTCTTAGTGATTTAGGACTTCACCATCCCAGAGGTTACGTACTTTCGGTAATTAAATATATTAAATGATAAAATTCCCAAAAAAACTTACAGATTATTAACATTATCGCTAAAAGGACTTTGCTATTATTTTTTAGAAAAGGAAAACAAAGCACCATTAACTTACTTTCTACATAATTTCATAATCAAAACTGATGTTTTTTTTTAATTGTTAGCGAAAAAAGAATAAATATCGCAAATATTTCATTGACGATCACATAAAACTAATCTTTTCTATCCCTTGAGAACAGTATTCTTTTCTGGATAAAAGGTATCCTATCTCCTAACAATGTGTGTACAAAATTTCAACCCAAAGACCGGTTTAATTTCAGTGTGTAATCATTCAAAATTAAAAAGTAAACTTTTCCGATTTACATATCTCTATTAATTTATTAAATTAATTAAGGATTACGGTGTGTTTTAAGCCTCTACGATAAAATCATTTAACTGCTAATGTTAATAATTATCATTCAAAGAATGATAGTTAACATTTGTGTGCTTAACACGAGGTAAAAATGACAATCTCACATCAAAATTAATGATTAAAAATAATTAGAATATTTATGTAACATTTTATTTTCAGCCAATGTGTGGACGTCAATGTGAAGTATTGAATCGAGTTAAAGGTCGAATGTTTTTGAGTTAAAGATACATTTTTAAAACATGTAATAATATTGTATCTAAATCCATTTTATTGGTGTTAATTAATAAGTTAATTATCCTTACAAAAGACATTTAGTTCAAAATAGTCCAAGGAGTAGGACTTCTAAAATTTTTTCAATTCGACAAGTGAATCAAACAAATCAATTTGAATTAATATAACAACTATTAGTTACATTCGAAAGTAATTGAACATTAATTATGTGATTAATTCTATTTATTTTATTTGACTTATAGTTGTAATTTTTAATTGCGTTTTCTTGTGTCTCCAAAAAAATCTTTGATTTTCATGAATATTATGGTAGTTACCCCTGTCCTTTACAAATGTTGTAATATGACAATAAGGAATTTACTTTAAGTTTTGTTTGCACCTGCACAATTTTTTATTTATTATTATTTTGCAGAATATATTTGATACTTTTGAGCCTAATATTTACTACTCTGTAGACACTTTAACTGTAAAAGTTAATCCATCCGGTAAGTGAATTAATAAAAAAAATACTTCTAGCAATTTTACACTAACTAAAAGTATATCTGAATTTGTTAAGAAAATTTAGACTGAAAATTGTTGTTGAGTACGTTGGGTTGTCGCTATTTTATTAATAAATTATTAAATATTTGTTGATAGACTATGAAACTAATGTAAGACGTGCTGTTTTTGTTGCATATCAACCCAGCAGTTTTCTCACAAAGAAAATAGCTATTCGATGAATTAGTAAAAAATAAAATAAATTTCTTCTAAAATTACTAAAAATGTATTACTATTTGTTTATTGATATTTGCTGTATTGCTTTGAGAAAGAAAAAATTATTTCTTTTAACAGTGTTTACTAAATATATGTTGGGTACTGTTTAATATAAAATAATATTAATATTAACATTGTTAATTTTGTAGGTGTAGTCTTACTAAAATTGACCCCTGCGTCGGAAGAAATTGACGTTTATTACTAAAAACTAAAATCTACAAAAATTACATTTTAAACAATGACAATAATAGGTAATAGAATAGCAATAATAAATAAGTAAATATTCATATTGTAATTAGTTTTTGTTTATTTACAGACAATTTTTTTTTATTTTCCTGCAACTTAAAACGGATCGTGATGTTTCAAACGTAATCGTTTAAATTTACATTACGCTCCCAATTTATTACAAATAACGCAAGTGCTAAGTCTCAAATAACTAATCGTTTTTCATTACGTACAATCAACTGGACAATTATTGCGTTATTTGTAATTTTTAAAATGGATTCCAAAAAAGGAAAAACTGATTCAACAGTCACTACTTTTTTTGAAATGTATCAATATATTACTGTGGATTTCAGTTATATTAATAAAAACTTTATATACTTGTGTAGATTTATTTGTCTTGCCAATTTTATTATAATTTCACCTTATATTCGCATTGTTCTACTACTTGTTTTAAAATATTGTAATGTTTTTACATGACATTGATGAGAGAGTTCTCATGAATAATTTATGATAGAAAATTAATAATAATTGATAATTTTGATCTATTATTGCCTAGCCACTCTTACCATCTAAGTTATATTTTAAAGAAAATGCATAATATAGAATTTTAGTTTTACAAAAGTAGCATAGATATCTACCAATTTTTCTTCTTTTATCCTTAACAAATATTTGGAAGTTTTGTGAATAACTTAATTGCTTCTACCCTTTTCAGTTGTTTATATTCACAATGTTTTAAATATCTTTCTTAATTAATGAATGCTTTCATTATAAAGAAAATCAATTAGATTTACAATTACATATTAAATTCCGTATTAGAGCTTAAAATATAAACAAATACTGTTTAATAACAATAATTTGTACTAAATTTCAAACATTTTTACACAACAAGTATATGATCTTTACACTTTTTTCGTATCTATACATGATCTAATTTTTTTCAGAATGTACTGCGAACCAATATATCCTTAACCTTTAACTTTTGGCTATTGTATAACCGGTTAACAAAAAATAACGCTCTGCATTTTAAAATTAGAACAATGCCTCACTAGTTGTTGTAAATCTCAATCCTTTCAACTGACAATTTACATTTTTAAAAATCTGCTTCATCATAGCTAATTCTAATGGAAAAAAATGTGTCTGATGGATGACATTAGATTAAGTAACCCATTATTAACATTTAACCCCTGTCTTATTTTTTTTTTGACAAAAGAGCAATTCTATTGAAAAAAGCAATCTAATTGCCTAGTAATCAAGTGGTTTATATGAGTAATTATTACAAAAAAAAACAGCAACTACTAAAATGTAAATCAATTCAAATACTTAATTAACTAATTGCTAGATACGTGGCAGACTTAAGTGGTATTCAAAAACGTACCATTTAATTGCAGTTTTCTATTATTAACAAAAAAACAAATGTAAAACATGTATGTAAATCTATTTAATTATTTAATGTTGCTCTAAACCTTTTCTGGATAAGCCATTTTTACATAAGTCAATTAACTTACTTGGACTTTATTGTCTTTACGCAAGAAGGACTTTCAACCGTGTTAGTAAATAAATAATTACTATTGCTTGAAACATAATTTGCGCAACGAAATGTGAAAAGGTCAAATTAGTTGTTAAGTACGCTCCTAATTTGAAAAAATATTAATAAATGTAAAAAAATAATGGTTTAATTGATGATTGCAGAGTTAACATATTGTAACGCGTATTAAAAAGAAATAATTAGTAGTATATTTAATTAAACGGTACCTTTAGACTTCATGCATTTTGAGATTGTGACAGAATTTGCCTAAATTAACAAATTAAGCTAAAATAACCATAGTTCACATGTTACTAACACCTTCAGAACTAAGACGGCAGACGAAAATGTAAAAAAATCTTTTTGATTCACTCACTTAATTTTCAAATATCTATGTGACCTTCTAAAATATATTACTTATACAACTAAATTAATTAGCAATTCGAATCACGCATACATATACACATAAGTATATATTAATTTTCAACTCATTGTTAATAGTATCTAACAGTAACAGACACGCGTCAGACTTTTAATTTTACTCGTGGGTTTTAATTTAAATAATTTAAAACCCACGNCTTTTAATTTTACTCGTGGGTTTTAATTTAAATAATTTAATTTTTTTTTTTGAAAAACGTGATATTTAATTTAATTAACTGTAAAGTTTTACAACTACGAGGATTAGTTTCTAACAGTAATGCACCTACGGGTAAATTTCTAGCACGTGTTTCTCCACCCTGAATAAATTGAACTCAATATAGCACAAGGTCATAATTTCGCGCTAATGAAGACAATAATTTTTAATTTACAAGTTACGGAAAAACGCCTGATATTGACTAAAATAAGTAATTTAATATCAGCTTCTAATATAAAATTATGGGCCATTTTTATTTAAAAATACAAAAATATCTGTTACCTTGTTCAAATAGAAAACTTTTTTTTTATTTTTTCATTTCTTAATACCCAAGGGGTTAGCTAATTTGTTAGCTATTTAGTTAGACAATTTGGGTTTAAATAGCGATCTCTTCAATTTAAATACTAATTATTTTTAATTAAATGTACTGATCAATAAAATAGAACCCACTTTATATCCATGCTTTATGTTTTTTACATTTATCATACATACGAATAAAATGTAAAACAAATACTCTTGTGTTGTGTTAATAACAAATAATAATATTTATTAGGTACTAAATTGTAGACAAATTAGTCATTTCATTACAATACAAATTAAAAACGTGCGTATTTTACATTAAACAACTATGCTTTTCCTATAATTAAGTAATAAAAGAAGAAATGTATTATTTGTGATCTTACGTTCATAATAATTATGTAATGAGTACTTGAAACATTATTATTATAAACATTTTATCCGTTCCAATGGTATACAATTCCATTGGTTAATCGTAGTATATTGTTTCGATATAAAATACCTTTGGTGTATATAAAATTACTTTCTTGATTGCATTTTGCAAGGTGTAACAACATATTTAATAATTAAGATAATTTACATATCATTATATACTACGTTATTCATTCTATATATTGATGTTTTAAATTGGACACGAGTAGAAAATTCGTAAAAAAAAGCACGTGATAATTAGAAAGCACACTTTTACTTTTAGATACAGCATATTAACGAAAATATTTGTTGTCTAATTCAATCATGAGTGGAGTACTATTTTTTTTTTTAAATATAATATGACTAAATTACCTTTTCTTTATAGGCAACTCAAAAAAATCAATTTGAGAAAATTACAATTGTTTAGAAAGAGTAAATCATATTTTCGTAATTAAAAGGTTTTTCAATAGTAATTACATTACTTTAACAATACATACAACTTAAAAACAGAGTCCAAACTTTATTACTATTTCGTTTTATTTTTTAATTTTGTGCGACGTTTATTACTTTTTCGAAAATGCTAACAACTAGCACCATTTCTAATAATTTATTTAAAAAAAACATAAAATTCCTTGAAGTTTCCTTATAAATACTTATCTCTTTTTTCTAACGAAGGTAATAGTTAAACACGTACAATATGACACATTAGAAATGAAGGACAATTCGTATAAAATAAACATATTGAAATTATTTTTGATTAAAATTTTATGAATAATAGGGTAATAATTACTTGAAATGGTGAATTGATTCGTCTGGTACCTTTCTATAAAATTTATCATATTGATAACAAATGAATAATTTATTTATAAGTGTAATCAACAAACAATGGAATAGCTTTTAGTCATATCATTCAAACAGAAAATGCCAATTAATACAAGGACCTTTTTGGTATTGTAATTTTCAAGTATGAAAACAATTTTATTGTTTTGTCTTTTACAACTGTTTAAAAATACTTTTTCAATTCATTCCACTAAAACCATAACACCTCTGGTATGCTGTGGTGTATATTTTTCAAAATATCTTTTTAAACTTATTAAAAAATATGTGTGTACTTCTAGTAAAAACCACTTTTGAATAATATCCCATAAGAATAAATTTAATGTAAAACCACTAGTATATAATGTCA